TTCTACAGCATAGTAGGTTTTCTTTAGACCTGAAGGACAGCTAGAGTTAGACGAATTAATAACTGAAACGAATGACATGTTATTGGGAGAGGTATTAAGGTTTATTATGTTTCTTAATATTTTTATTTAAAAGTTTCTTCTATTTAAATGAAGTGTAATACACACTATTAGTTAACATGTGAACATCTCTATGCTTTACCTTCCTGTATAGCATGACTAGAAAAAAATCATTAAGAGCAGTAACAATATGCTAATCCAGGTTCTCCAATAACTACCTGTAAGGAAATCAAGCAGATGAGACAGACTAAGAGACCATAATCTAGGCAGTATGCGTAATGTTTCAGGTATGTACATATATGGGGGAAAGGGAGAATCCATAATCTTCATGGCTTTTTCAAAGGAGTCTGTGACACAAAGAAAGTTAAGAAATTGGAGCATTGGGTCCCAAACTAGTTTCTTAAGGATCATCAGCTGAGAAAAATCTCTGGTCTTTGTCGTGAGAGTTTTTATTTTATTGGAATGGGGTGGGGCTCAGAAAACTTCTTTTTCAACATGTTCTCCAGATGATTCCAAAAATAAATTAAGTGGACCATAATTTGAAAAATAGCGACCTAAGGACTAAAGTATACTTCTATATCAGCTTTCTATTGCTGCTGTAACAAATGACCACAAATTTAGAGGCTTAAACATCAGAAATTATTATGTGACACTTCTGGAGGTCGGAAGTCTGACATGGGATCTCAATGGGTTAAAATCAAGATATCAGCAAGTCTCTGTTCCTCTCTGGTGGTTCTTGGGGAGAAACTTCCTCGCCTTTACTTGCTTCTAGAGACCATCCACATTTCTTTGCTGGAGTTCCTCTTCCCCTTCATCAAAGCTGGCAATGTCGCATCTCTCTGAATTTTCCCCAAAGTCAACTTATTCTTCAGTAGTCAGATCTCCCTTTGACTCTCTCATCTGTCTTTTTCTTCTAATTTTAAGGACTCCATGATCACTAGACCCCCCCCCCAATAACACAAGAAATCTCCCCATCTTCAGGTCAGGTGATTAACAACTTTAATGCCACCAGGAACATTAATTCTGGGGCACCTGGGTGGCTCAGTCGGTTGGGTGTCTGCCTTCGGCTCAGGTCATGATCCCAGGGTCCTGGGACTGAACCCCACGTCAGGCTCCCTGCTCAGTGGGAAACCTGCTTCTCCCTCTCCTCCCCACTCATGCTCTCTTCTCCCTAGCTCTGTCTGTCTCTCTCTCAAATAAATAAATAAAATCTTTAAAAAAAAAAAAAAAGGAACATTAATTCCTCTTTGCTGAATTACTTACTCACAGGTTCCAGGGATTAGGATTTGGGCATCTTTGAAGGTCACTATTCTGCCTACCACAAGTTCTTTTGTAGTGCCCAGGAAAAAAAGTCGTTTTTTCCCTAATGTTATGTTTAATAACTCAGTTAATGAGGCTTCCACGCCTCGCTGTTATAGAATTATCTGGTCAGTAGAATTAATAATCACTGGAATTACTGAACTGAAATGCTATTTAACTTTCTGTTATTAATAAATAACACTTAGTCACACCCACAGGCCTAGAAGCTCCTTGAAGTTAGGCACCCTGTCTTGTTGGTTTTGTTTCTGTGACTTTTATTTTTACTTCTTGTCAAGTAATAGACACACAGATAAGGTCACTGAATAATTGTGATGGTTAATTATGTTCATGAATTAATGAAACCAAAGGTCTACTCTCTCTTTTAACGACTCTTCCACAGAGCAGCTAAGAGACAGCCTGATTCAGATTCTTCTCATATTAAACTTACCAATTGCCACATATCATGGGTGTTTAGTGTTACTCTTAAACAAGCAAAGCTATTATTATTTAATTTATGCATTCCAAGAGTCTAAAACGTTATGCTTGTTGTTTTGGGTAGCTACCCAACAGTAAATTTTAGGCAATTATGTTCTATAGGTGTGGATAGGGGTGGTCTCTCAACAAGTGATAATGTACTATTATTAACAATAATAGCAACAACTATGTGTTAGACCCTACACTAGATTTTGCACACACACGCACACATGTGCACACCCTCACTAATCTGATCTTTGACGACATCTGTAAAATAAATATTTCCTCATTTACAGACCAAAAAACAATTTTGAAAATTTTGCAATCACATCATCTAGGCAGTGATAACCACAATTCCAGACTAAGGAAGCAAAGGATAGCTTGTTATCCACTTAGATGCTCCACTTAAAACTTTCAGTAGGTTAAAATTGTATTTAGGATAAAATCTGTGTCTCGCCAGGAACCACAAAATCTGACCCTCCCTCTCATTACATGTTCGCCTCATTGCACTCTCCCCTCACTAACGGAGCTGCACCCACACTGGAATCCTTTAGGTTCCTCAGACACAAACTCTTTGCTGCCTTGGGGCATTTTCCGTGCTGTCATCTTCTCTTCCTACTTCTTTGCCTGGATAATGACTTCTCATCTTTTAGATCAGTTTAAGTACCAGTTTCCCAGAGAAACCTCTCTTGAGTATTACAACCAAAATACATTCTCCTCGCCACCCTGTCATTATCTACTAGAGCACCCTTACTGTTTCCTTCCAAGCACTTAGTGTGACTTGTATTTATCAGTTTATTTGCTCACTCTCTATCTCAGTGTGGGGAAGGGTATTCACTGTTGTATTGCTTGCACACAGCATTGTATCTGTATTCAGTAAATATCTTGTGGAACATTCTTTTCCTTTTTCTTAAAGTTAAGATAAGACATTGCACCAGAATATTATATCTGTGAACAGAAGATTTCCTAGAACATAAATGATCTGGAGCCTTAAGCTTTGGTCACAAAATATATTTCAATATATTTCTTGTTTTGTTTGTCTTATATTTAGCTGCCCATTAAGTGCTTCAATATAAAGAAACAACAACTACTTACAATTCAAAATCAAGGATCTGCTCTGACACAAATTTGAAAGGCATATTGGTTCTGGGGTGGGGCCCAGTCTTCTGTATTTTTAATAAGATTCCCAGATGATTCTGATTCATACCAAAGTTTAAGAACACCTGTTGAGTGTGTTCATAGTCCTGTTATAGGTCTACCTGTATCCAACCTTTTGTTTAATCCATACTTGAGTATTTTATAACCTCATGTACTTTCTGACTTGAATATTTAATGAGTACATAATTACTTATTAATATATTATTCCTGCTTTTGCATCTCTAGTTCTGCTCTAGATGAGGCTTTGTTCTTTTAAGCTGCTATGATTTTGACATCCTGGGTTTATGATATAATTAGGAATAAGAAATACGAGGTAGACTTCATACAGTTATTTGTTTTAAGAGTTTGAGATTCACTAGATAACATATACTATTTATAGAATTGTTTTAAAATAAAACCAGTCATAAAAAGAAAGCAAAGTTCTTATTAATTTGTAACTCTGCATATATAAACTTTTATTGTGAGCAAATATCAGCTTCCAAATTTGTGGCTATTTGTTTTCTTGTTCTGTGGGCTTATATATTGCTTTTAATTGGTAATGTAATGAAAAACATTATTGCCCTCAAGAGGCAAATTTTACATGCATGCAATTATGTACAATTGAGAGTTTTAAGATATAGTCCATTCATATCTTTCACCAGTTTTGCCTTTAAACATTTTATGCCATGGATATATATAGAAAAATATGGTTGTTGTGTAGTACAAGCAAATCTGCTATATTGTTATATTGTGGCAGATACATCTTCCAATCATACCTATCAATGTTCAGATCCCTTCTATAAACAGCCCATGTGGTACTAGGAAGAAATATTTGTAACACTTCAGACACTTATTGTTACTTAAATATACATCAAAGTACAATCTGTAAACACTTTATGTAGACTGGATTTTATCCTTTTATTTAAATATGAAATAGAGACAGTTTTCTTTTTTTTAGTTTAAATTCAATTAGCCCACATATCGTTGGTTATATGATATAGTACATCATTAGTTTTGGATGTAGAGTTCAGTAATTCATCAGTTGCATATAATACTCAGTACTCATCACATTTTCATTTGATAATCTTTTAGAACTTTGCTTATTTGGAATTGCTAATATTCACTAGCAAAATGAATATTTTGCTAAAACATGTTTTATACACAAAGTACATTTCTCATATTCCTGAAAAGAACACTACCTCTTACCAAGTTCACCATATTTGAGCTAAGGAGGTGGTAATCATAAAATAGACAAAAATGTGGCTATTTTATTTGTGGTCTAAGTGACTTAAAACCCTTAGAAGACAACTGCTCAAAAACCCTTTCTATTTAGATTATAAATGTCAAGTTTTAGTGATATTGTTGTCCATTTTGAGAAACATTAGTAATTTTGATTTAGGTTCATCTGCCATTAACAATATTCATATTTTACCTAAAGTTAATATCACTCTTTAATGCTGAGCAAAATAACAAACGTACTTTATCTCACATTTATTTTATTTTATTTTTTTAAAGATTTTATTTATTTATTTGACAGAGAGAGACACAAGAGAGACACAAGCAAGAGAGGGAACACAAGCAGGGGGGGTGGGAGAGGGAGAAGCAGGTTTCCCGCCGAGCAGGGAGCCCGATGTGGGGCTCGATCCCACAACCCTGGGACCACGACCCGAGTTGAAGGCAGACGCTTAACGACTGAGCCATCCAGGCGCCCCTCACATTTATTTTAGACAAGTGAGAGTCCTCCTCAACTATTTCCCTCTACTCTGCCCTAAGATTTTATAGAGGTGAGATAATTTAAAATGCTCAATGGAGAGAAAGAAATTCATTTAAAGAATAATTCCTACATTTTTTATGTAAACACATTAAATCATGCTATGCCTAAAATATATTTGAGAGTTCCATCAGCTACTCAGTTAGTGGATTTACATACCCTGCAGTGTTGAACAATAAACTGCATTTTGGTGTGAGCGAAATAGCTTGTATCCCGCTTCTGTGCTCTAATTCGCATTTTGATGGGCTTTTGATGTTCCTAGATATCCGTGGAATACAGGAGTTTTTGGACAAGGTGTCTCAGCAGGGAATGGATGTTGCCTTGCAGAAGGTAGAAAACAACATTAATAAAATGATCACCACTCTCTTTGACACCTTGAGAATAGAGGAATTGAATCGCTATCGAGACACTCTTAGGCGAGCCATCCTTGTTATGAATCCTGCTACAGCCAAATCTTTCATTACTGAGGTAAGTAAAAATTGTCATGGGGTTGGAGTAGGGTTAAAAAAATTAAATGCTTTGGAATAGACCTCACAGTCAAGTTGAAAATTAAGAGCAGTATAGGAGAATTAACTACACAACTGTCATTAGCACTAATGGAGGTAGCACACTGAATTCCTTGCTTGTTGCATTCATCCTGCACAAAATTTTCACACATCCTGCACAGTTAACTGCTGAAAATGTTTGTATTCATATATTTAAGCACATAGCCAGGATGATTTTAAGAAATGTCGTGGGAGTTTAAAAGTGTTGTTGACCCTGAATTACTTTAACACGTTCAAGAATAAATTCACAAGAGCACAATTCTCCAACTAATCCTTAAATTGTTCCAAGTCAGAATTTTACCTCTGAGGAAAGATATACTTGAACCAGGTTGTTATTGCCTGAACATGATTACTTTTACAAAAACAAAGAGCAGATTTACTTCTGTTCTGTGAACTTTGTACCAAGACGAATAATTAAAACTGTCTGAAACTCTCTGCAAAGTGATGACCACTGTACATTCTATGATGCTGCATCTTCAAAATTTTAATTGTATCTGTTAATTTGGCTAGAAGCTCCAAAACTTTGTAAAAATACGATTAAGACTTTTTAATGATTGGTGTGACATCTTTATGTTCTAAAATGCTTACTACTGCTTTGACAGGATTATTGTCATTTACCTTACTTCAAGTTTTTAATTTTATATAGTGCTAGGACTGGTCATGACATTACGTACTTTCACATGGGTTTTATTAGTAGTGTTTTTAATTTTGGTGACTTTATTTGACTAATACTTTTTTCCTCACTTCTCTAGTAAGCTTTCTTTAGCTCCCAAAGTACTGCTATAAAGCCTCCAAATTAGGAATGTGTTAGAAATTCTTTGACACTCTATAATCTAATTGGTATCAAGGAACTGAAAAAGAATATAAATCACTGAGAAGAATAAAACTTTTGGAAAACTATCAATAATGCCATTTTTTTAACATTTTAATAGAGAACTTTGTTATGCAGTTAAGGACAAATACAGAACTTTGACCTTTTCTAATCTAGCAAATTACTCAGAGAGTCTTTTTGAACAACTAGGTTTTTCCACAGTAGAAAGAATATTTCCAATTTTACAGGATTTGGTTCTTTCCTTTAAGAAACCCAAAATCTGCTGAAAATTTTAAGATAATTACTCAAAGACATATAACCTAAATTGGAATCTTAAAATTATAATAAGCGAGGGTGAAGCATCTATGGTCGTCTTTGGTTGGGGATTGTGGAAATCAGAGAACACTTCATTGAGAAGGCACATTTGAATTGTACTTATTATCATGAGTAGGAATTCATGGAAGAAGTGTGGTATCCAACAGACAAATACAAGTCCATCCCAACTAGTTTCTGGTCATGTCGGGTTGGCAAATTACCTAACATTTCTGAGCCTCCATTTTATCATCAATAAAATGAGAATAATATATTGATTTCAACTTATTAAATTTGTAATGTAATGAAACATCCTGTGATATGCCTTAAAATGGGGGAGAGGGAGGTGACACCTAGTAAGTACTTAAGAAACGTTTATTTCTAGGGGCGTCTGGGTGGCTCAGTCGTTAAGCGTCTGCCTTCGGCTCAGGTCATGGTCCCAGAGTCCTGGGATCAAGCCCCGCATCAGGCTCCCTGCTCTGCGGGAAGCCTGCTTCTCCCTCTCACATTCCTTCTGCTTGTGTTTCCTCTCTCTCTGTGTCTCTCTCTGTCAAATAAATAAATAAAATTTTTAAAAAGAAAAAGAAAGAAACGTTTATTTCTAGTTCATTTTTTTCTGGCATATAGCTCATGCCTGACCATAGCAGATTCTCAAAAAATACTTGGTGAAAAGAAAAGAATATCAAGACGTGCAAAGACACAGTCCTTGACTGAGTGCTCAGAATAGAGCAAGTAGTTTTGTATAGGTTCAAAATAGGATATGTGAAAAAGAGAAGTGACACGCACTATGTAACACATGGCTTTAAACCAGATGGCAAAGGCCCATGAGTGCCAGGTAACAATTCATGTATATTTACTAAGCAGTCAGAAGAAATGGGCTGAGAAGAGGGACAGATTACCAAGGGCTTTTGCCAAGTCATGATCTTGACTTGTATTCTGACCATGGCCCCCATCCTTGACTCTGAACTCTGATACCTGTAATAATCTACTGTTTCTGTCTTTGTTCCTAAACCTATAAAATCTATTTTTGTGAGTTTCCTGAGACTTCTCTTCCTTCCTCTACCCTGACACCACTTTTTCCCCCACTCACTTGTGTTTCACAGTCTCTGAGTTTATGTCTCCAAATTGTACAAAGTTTATTCTATAGTCTCAAACAGTGATGTAAGAATGACAGAAAGAATGTGAACCCAGTGCCTTCCCCATCCTAAGCTAGCTGTTTTCTCTGACCTGTATAGTGGTTCCCGTTTCCAATTAACTGTTTTCAAATATCTCTCCTCTTCCTTCTGCTCACGCATGGGTTCTGGGAGCATTTCCCCACTTAGGAAATAGACTAACCCCTCAATACCAGAAACAATTAATTCAAAAGGCAAACAGCATGGAATTCAAATGGCACACAGCAAAAAAGTTCTGGAGATACAAAGAATAGATTTTGTTATGTATGTTTATGTGTGGTCTTTGTTCTAGGATAATGATGCCAACACCAGTTTCTCCAGTTTAGCCCAGATGGTCTGCTTGGATTTTGTAGACGAGAATCCTGTCTGTCTGTCTGTCTATCTATCTATCTATCTATCTATCTATCTATCTATCTATCTAACATCTATCATCTATCTATCATCTATCTATCATCTATCTATCTAATCTATCATCTATCTATCATCTATCTATCTAATCTATCATCTATCATCTATCTAATCTATCTATCATCTATCATCTATCTAATCTATCATCTATCTATCATCTATCTATCATCTATCTATCATCTATCTATCTATCATCTATCTATCTATCTATCTATCTATCTATCTATCTATATGTCCGCTTTCAAGGACATTTGGCATGAGCCAGTATGAAAGAAGGCCTTTGTGAAAATCAGTATGTGTTTAATTGGAATCAGTCCTCTTTATTCACTGATTCTGTATTTGCAAATTTGCCTACTCACTGAGATTTATTTGTAACTTGAAAATCAATCTAAGGATGTTTTCACAAGCCATTCACAGAAATGTTCAGAGCTGTGAAAAATTTGAGTTGCCTAAGGTTGCCAACTAAGGTTGAACAAAGCTGTGCTCTGCATTCTTGTTTCAGTTCTCATACTGTAAACAAATGTCCTTTTTGCAGTTTATTTTGTGTCTCCTTTTTTGCATTTTTTTGTGCCATTTGTTGGTGATTTCACTGTTTAAAATGGCCTCCAAGTGTAGTGCTGACATGCTCTCCTTAACTGTGATGTGTCCTACTGAGAAAATACCTGTTCGATAAGGTCCATTCGGGCATGAGTACCCTTGGCCACGAGTTCAATGTTAATGAATCGACATGGTATTGTTTGAATGCTTGTGCTTGCCCCTCCAAATTCCTATGTTGAAATCCTGTGCCCAATGTGATGGTTTCAGGAGGTGGGGCCTTTGGGAACTGCTGAAGTCCCGAGGATGGAGTCTTCATAGATAAGATCAGTGCTATTCTAAATGCTAAAAAGAACCCTGCAGAGCTCTCTAGCGCCTTCCATCAAGTAAAAATACAACAAGGAGTCTGCAACGAAAAGAGGGCCCTCTTTTGCATGGTGTAACCATGCTGGCTCCTGACTGAACTACCAGCCTCCAGAACTGTGAGAAATAAATTTTTGCTTTTAATAAGCTACCCAATCTGTGGTATTTTGTTATAGCAGCCCAAATGGACTAGGACACAATAATCTGTATATACATATAACATATATTAATCATATGTACAATACATATTAAGTATGCAGATATAGTATATAAATTTAAATCTCTTCAAATAGAGACGTAAATAAACCCAGAGCCTTGTAGGAACCAAACCCTGTATTTCCCTTAGGAGCAGTCGTTCAGCATTTATTAATTCAGTGTTCTCAGGAAATTTACAGAACATAACTCCTGGGAATGATAAGAATTGACTTTGCTCCCATACTTTTCAGCTCCCATCTCATTCCTGCCCTCCCTTTGGCTTGGCATTTGTCAAGTATCAAAATTTCTAGGGCTCTCTAGACTCCATCCTCAGGACTTCAGCAGTTCCCAAAGGCCCCACCTCCTGAAACCATCACACTGGGCACAGGATTTCAACATAGGAATTTGGAGGGGCAAGCACAAGCATTCAAACAATAAGAGATGAGAGGGCTCTCTGCTGGTTCCCCTATGACAATAACTAGTCGGTGGCTTCTTCTACCATGTTTCTTCAGATAACACTACCTCATCTGCTTTTCTTTTTTCAGTAATTTACTTAAAAACACTTTTCTGATGATCTTTTCCCTTTTTCCTCATGGTTATTGGTTTATATACCTAAACAACTCCTTATATTTTATTGGGGGTTTAGGGGACAATCCCTTTAATTCCAGAGTATTCTTTCAGATTTTTAGAGTTTAAAACCAAACAAACAAAAGGTACTTTAAGAACCATTGTTACAATTTTTAAGAAATATCTTGAATAATGACATTTTAAATGTGGAACATGCAACATTTTGTCCAAATTCCAAATTTACAGTTGAAAAAACTAAAGGCCTTTCTAGATGCAATCAAAATTGTTCTCTAACTTCCTCCAGCAGACATTTGAAAAAGGAACTTATGACAGTATTTTTTTTCCCAAAATGTAGCCATTGCATGAAAGCCTCTCTAATACTACTGTGTTCAGAGATGGCTGCTATACATTTTTTAGAGTAAACCTTGTATTGAAATATAACATACACCTCTCTATTCTTCCCATCCATTTTCCCTCCCTTTCCCTATGGTCCTCTGATCAAAAACTATTGATGTACTATATGTTGGCTAACTGAACATAATAAAAAATAAATAAATAAAA